TTTTTTTGTATTTTAGGAAAGGGTCTACAAGGTGTTCAGGGTCTCACTACTAGATCTGACTCTTAATGATCCACCTGTTTAGAGCCTCCCAAGAGCTGGGATTACAGGCATGTGCCACCACACCCAGTCCCAATTGCCATCTCAGCGTGCCCTAGTGGCAGGGCTGGCAGGGCAAGGCCTAAGGATCAAACCCCCAGCCTCTGTGCCTGCTTGCAGGCACTTTAATCTGCTAAACTATTTGGCCGGCCTTAATTCTGTATCATTTCTAATGTTTTGTTTTATTTTGTTACTGTTTTTATTCTCTTAAACATCTCACTCTACAAAAAAAGTAGTTGTTAAAAAATTTGATGGCAAAGTTGTAGATTAAAAGGAACTTTGCCCAATGTTGGTAGCAATGTGAATTAGGAATAGGTACCATTAAAAATAATATTAAATTTCCAGAAGCATTAAAACTAAAACTATCATGTGATGACCAATCCCATTGATGGGATACATCTAAAGAAAGGAAATAAATTTGTTGATGAGATAACTTTACTTCCTTGTTTATTGCAGCACTTTCAAATTAATAAAGCAAAGTGTATATTAACAGATGACTGCACAAAGCAAATGTGGTAATATCTGCCATAGAATAAAATTTAATCATAAGATGAAGGAAAAGCTGTTAGTTTTTTTAAAAAATGATAAAGCTAGAGATCAATAAGTAAACAGGAAATAAGAGTGCTGCAGAATCTCAATCATATACAAAATATTAAAATGGTGTATATATTTGTGGCTAGGAATAGAGTTTATTGATAGAGCTCTTGCTTACCATATGCAAGGCTTTGAGTTATTATGTGGATGAGTCATGGCCATTGTTTCGCCAAAGTGCTCTCTGTAAAAGCCTGAGAGAATGTTTTTTCTCCATGTGACTCTCCTTAGGCACACTCTGCATCATCGATCACTTTCCTCTTTGGCCCCATAATCTCCTTGATCAGAAAATTTGGGACACTACCGAGTTACATGATGTTACAGTACAAGTTCTCATATGTCCTGAGTCTTAAGTGACCTTGGAAGGCTAGGGCCAGAATGTTGGCTTTCCTTGAAGCCCTCCTTTTTCTCTAATTTTGGTCTGCAAACGTAGGTTGTTAACCATCCAGAAGACAAGCTTATTGTTATTACCATGCAACCTAGGCTGTTGAGCTTAACCTCACTATCTGTGGTCTTAACCATCCAGCAGAGAAGTATAAAAACCAAGTATAAGAAGTAAAGTCATGGTGTTATGTTGAGCGGTAGGGGTCTCAGGTCAACAATTTCTGACATTGCCAGTGAAGCAGAAGATCCAATGCTATTATGGACTACTGAACCTTTTTAGAATATTTTGCTGAGTTTACACATCTATAATATTTAAAGGATGGAACTTAGAGAAAAAAGGAGATACAAATGAATGTCCATTTTGTGTCTGTGTATTCAAAGTAGATAGATATATAGTTATATTCTCTTAATGAATAGAGGGATTTGTTCTAATGGTGTTTGTAAATAGGATATCAAGTAAGCATCTTGTACAGCAATTAACCACTAGGAAGAATGTATGCAATGTGTTAATTATTGAAACTGTCCTACCAATTTGGTTTGAAACTGTCTCATTGCTATTTGTTTATCAATAAAATTATGGAAAAAAGCTGACACTGACAAAGGTTCTACAATCTGAGGTACAGGATCTCAGGATAAATCCTGTGGAGATTTCTCTGACCTTATCAGACCCAAAAGCTACAACTCTTGTTGCATAGGTCCTTCTTTACCAAGGCTTTGAGTTAAATCTTGAGGAAAAAACAAAAACAAAAAAAAAATGGTTATTCTTCTGGAAATGGAGAGGAAAATGATGGTTTAAAAGAGACTGGAAAAAATAAGAGACTGGGCAGTGTAAGGTTAAGGTTGATCAAAGTGAAATAAATTAAATTTTAATTACAGAGGAGTAATTTCCCTACTACACTGGGAAATAATTACATAGGAGTAAGAAGTCTTATGTGCTATTATAACTAAGTATTTACCATACATAGGAAATTGCACTTTTGAATCTATCTATTGGCAGACGAAATGATGGCAAAAAGAAATCAAGTTTATTGGATTATTTTTTATTTTACATTCTCATGATAAACATAGTTTAACAAACTGCTTTATTAGTGTATACGAAAGTACTAAGTAATTGTTAAGTATATCTAAAACAAAAATAGTAGTTACACTATTGCTTCAGTCTTGGTTTTATAAAAATAGAATAAAATTTTCACTTTAGAGGAATTAATATTATGAGAGCATTCAAAATCAAGCT